ATATATATATATATATATATATATATATATATATATATATATATATATATATATATNTATATATATTATTATATATATATATATATATAAATATAATATATATATATATATATGGATTTGTAAAGAAAGTATATCCAACAGGCAACAACTCACATGCGTCAAATACTCTCTTACAATCTGCGATATCGCATTTACTGACTACTGGGGGCCCAACTTGTGCCTATCTACATCAAATGAACACCACTCCTATCAATCGTTGCCATCGCGACATTCCGTCTTGGCGGCCATTTGACCATCTCTACGTAAGATTCTAAATCTCTCTCCTTTTGACCAATAATCTATAACCGATTCCGGTAGCAGAGGAACGGCCGCTTCACCTACCCCTGTTGTTTTAGGAATGCCTTGCTACATCTCATCACTTGTTGGAAATTGTACTCGAAGCCATCGTCGCCTCCCTGTATGTAGTGTTGGCTCGGTTAGCGGACCACTTCATTAAAAGTATCAGATGATTCTACAAATTCTTTAGAAAGGGGCTAGGAACTCTATTCCTGGAGGGATAACTAGATAAATCTGTAGCAAGGGGTTCCTGCGAGGCTTAAATCTATACAATTATGACGGCCGCATTGTGCCCCTACAGGGTGCTGAGTGGGAAGACCCACAACCCGGGGATAGCAGCACAAAAACAGAACATACAAAAAGTAACACCACCAGATAACGCCACCCGTTCGTAGAAGAACATGCTGAAACGCAATGCAATGGATCGATATCACAACACAGATAAATAACGGAATCAGTTCACATACGTAGTACGGATCCTCGATGATGGATTCGCCCTCGGGGTCGTAGGAGCCGAACAGGCTGATAGTGGCTGCGGCGTTTTTGTTCTTCTTGGCCAAGCGTTGCAAATCATCCAAGTTGCTCGTGTCCATGCACAGCACAAAGTCGAAGTCCGAGAAGTCCTGAACGGTCACCTACGGACCGCATGACGATAATAACTTATTGAGAACTCCCTCCGAAACTTCAGTTGATTACAATTGATTATTTGATCGGTGCGTTAACTCATATGCCTGGCATCCCACATATTTATTTATCTCACGATTTCTCAGGCCGAAACACCGGTGTGCAAAATCAGCAACCGCTTAAACAGTGATACTTGAGCCCCGAAAGGCCCATTCAGACATTATTCGATCAATAAAAATTCGCATTCTGAAACCATTCACTTCGGAGGGATTCACACTTAGCATATCCATTTTTGATAGAGACCGACATGAGACCGCCGCAACACTTAAGAATGATATGTCTCGCATTAGGTATACTATGTATTGGATATAAACTACCACCGATACTCGACGATCAGCCTCCAAGAGACGAAATATCAAACACACTTGCTACGCTTGGCATCCTCACACGTATTCCCTTTAAAACTCAATATTCGATGAAGAGAGAATGAACAGGTCGGACAATAGACACGCACCTAGAGCGTGCGCTAGTATACGCCCGGCCTAGTAGAACATCGATGTCTTTGATACTGTATATCTCAATGCTCGAACTACCCTAACTGTGACAACTACTATAACCGCACACATCTGCCGGACAACACTACTATCATTACGGACCGAAATACTTCACCTACCTGACGGGCACGAGAATCCACCGGAACGCCGTGGCTCTTACAACAGGCGGCGCTTCGGCTGTCTGGTTTGCTTCCAATATGATAGCCTATGCAGATTGCAGCATAGAGCGCACATAACAGAGATGAGTGCAGAAAATGATGAAGAACAAAGTAAGCGGTAATACAGAAGAATGATAAGTTTGGAAAGGATTGTTCAATTCCCTAAGCTTATATGTACATACATACGTACATACATGCATGCATACATAGATACATACATATCTACATACACAAATATA